GAAAGTACGTTTCTGTGATATTTTTAGATGTTGGAGAGATCGATTCCAGAAAGAACCGAACTCGGTTACGACGTGCGCAATCTAAACAAACCCATCAGTTTCATTTGCTGAATGATTGTAGGGAGTCAGTACGAATGGATAAGAGCTTGGAAATGGTTCTTGGGGATGAAGGTGACGGGGTGGTATGGATGAAGAATGTGTTGAAAGAAAGAGTGAGGAAAGAGAAGCAAAAGTTCTTCCTTATGTAAAAAATTACAAGGAATAAATTATCTATCTATCTATCTATCTATCTATCTATCTATCTATACAAATATTCATAAATTATCATAATTATGTTTATGTGCATGTAAAAAACCTGTGGGTTAGTGGAATCTGAATGGTAGATGGTCGAGTGGGTTCGACGCGAGATCGACAGGCGTACAAAGGGCCGAACACCGCAGAAAACGTGTCCCTTTTCGTACGGTCGGTTCGTTTCTGACAGGGAATCCGAGATGAGGGACGTTCACAAAAATCGAGGCGTTTCGTTTTTTGTCCTTTCTCGTCTCTTTCTTCCTCCGCCTTCGTCGAAACAACGTTGTAACCTGACTCATAGCGAGGCTGTTCGCGCGCCTCGGAGTTAACACGAATTATCCTAGGTGGCCGGTCCCCGCGGGAGATGATTGATAACTCTCTTGTAAGGCGTTATCAGCCGTGCCGTGCACGTTGTTATGTTCACGTCAGAAACGTGACGCTGATAGACGGGCCCGCTCTCCTCTCTCCTTCCCGTTAACTCTTCCATCCCTCCAGTCCCGCGAGCTCGTTTCTTCCTCTGTCCGCGTAAGTGCCTCCACGCGACCTGTTGCCGTTAATTCGAACTTACACGACGGCGTGTTAAAATCCCTTTTCTTCCCTTGTACGACGCTCCTCTGTCTCTCTGGCTCGTCCCTTTTCACGCGATTGTCTCGGCATCGGTTAGTGGAATGGAAACTTGTCCTCCGGAGCGTCGAGGGGTTGAATATCCCATCGCGAGGACATTCGAATAATAATGATACAGTGGAGTCTCGATCGTCGCGTGACAGGTTTATTGCGATCTGCTGACAAGTGGAAGAGACGACAGAAAGTGAAATTACTGGTAACTGTAGGTATCGAAGATGTGTTGTGTAAATGGGATTTCTTTTCGTTGCGTGAACTTTGATTATTACAGAAATCAACCACTGCCTACTCCGAAGTATCACAAGCTGAGCTAAAAAAAAAAAAAAAAATAAAAAATAAATGTCAATACTCTATCAATATACGAATCTTACTAGATGTTTTTATTATAAATCTCTTAAGAACGCATATAAAAACCTTTAAAGCAAAATATCTCACGAACGAAGGCCCATTTGACAAACTCCATAGGGTGTTATTAAAAAAGCGACTCCAACATCCGTGGCACTCGTCTTGTAAGACTACACGTTTTAAATGAAAAAAACTTAACCAAACCCAAGGAAACCTAAAAGCAAAGATGTGACCAAGGTACAGATCACTTTCTTATACCTAATTTTAAATCCGCAAGTCGTGAATCAACTGGCTACGTGATTCGTCGCCCGATTCGTGCAACATCGGTAGATCGTTTGCTGCTAGGTACCAATCTCATACTCCAGGAGCTTCCCAAGGAATCAGGGTCGAACAAAGAGCTAGAGTTGCTAAGCAAACGCTCCCAAACACCATGACGCGAAAGGCGCACGACTCCAGCGTTGCCTGGTCACTCTATGGTCACGATCGAGTGGATCTAGCGGTGAATTCTCAGGGTCGAGTGCCGACAACGGATTACTAGCGTCCCTCTTTTCCTCTCGAACGAACCCTTTCGTGTCCTCTCTGTCGCGAACAATCGGAACATCGACGAGCTCAAACACGCGTGCGTGTTTCTGCACGACGCGACGAATACAATAAACGGGGCACAATAACGCCTTTAGGAGCGTCTATGCCGAGAGCAGTCCGGAGAGTGTATCCGAAACGAATCGAACCTTTGTCTGCCGTGTCTCCCAAACCAACTCGAGCTCCCTCGGGTGTGCGATGAATCAAAGTGAGCATGCAGCGTCGAGGAAGTCGTCAGGGATGGAACGCTAGGAAAAGGGGTTTCTTCGTGAATTTTTGTTACGAATACTGTGGGTAATAGCTTGTCTCAAATGTTGCTTGTTTAGTTATAGACACTTCGAGAATGCGTATGTGTTTTGTAAAAGGTTGGAAAATGTTCGAACCTGGAGTTTATGGATATTTTAATTCTACGAATTCGAATGAAGAATGTTGAAAATTTGTTTAATAATACCCGTTGCAGTAAGAGTATGATATCTTAATGAATTTAAAGTAACAGTGAAGAAAGAACCTTGAAGGAATTTTATTTGCCTTTCCATGCAACCGAGTATGATCCAATTAACGATGGAGGCAAATCCCAGTACTATTTGCATTCGTGAGTAGCACGTATCCCTGAAGAATCCAATTTCTCTCAACACCCTGCAAACTGCCACGTCTAACTGCAAGTACTAAACGAAAAGGAAACAGAAGGTTGCAAGCAAAAAGGTAACTATGTTACTTGTTCGTACGCGGGCTATCTCCGATAGCAGTCAATATCGCTAAGACGACATAGCTGGACGTCTAGACCAGACATAAAAGCCCAAGGTCTTAATTAACCTGCATAAAGGCAGGTTAGGACAAACTGGCCCGATCGCGACTGCTTCGCCAATTGTAGGATAGCAAACACTGATTACTGCAAATGTGCATTCCCCTTGCCACGTAAAGCGAAGTAAGTGCTCGTTCTGCCTTCTCTCGCCGCCTACCGCGGACTCGTCCTGACTAAATTGCGCCTCTCCCTCCCCTATTTACGATTCCAGGGGCAGTAAAGCAAACGGCGGCGACTCGTTCCGCGGAAAATGCTCGCGGTTAAGCCGGTAAATTAGGCACCGAGCAAAAGCGTTTCATTAAAGGATTAAGATATCTCCGCGAATCGTCAGGAGCTGCTCGCTAATGAGCGCCGCGAACGGAATAATCGTCGCGAGCTCGTACATTGACCGCGGCGAGAGCGAGAGAAACCGAGTCGCCAACTGTGAGAATCGCGGGACGAACGGACCGAGAATTGGTTGAATAGCCCTGCTCCGCTACAGAGGAGAGATGGTTCGCGGAAAATCGCTCGAATCGAGCCGCGAAATGTCTTACAAGCGAGCCCATCCAGTACGAGTTGCCAGACTACTCGCGAACGTTGCTACATCAGCGATCTCGAACTCTTCGCGCCTGTTCTTCGATCCGTAATGTATGCTATTATCGAGGGCTGATAAAATTTATATGGGCGCCCTAATCTTACGTTACGAGGTAACGGACGTTTTTCGTAATGTGAAACTGAAATATCTTCCCATATTCTCACCCCTAGTATATTAAGGTATTTTTCATCATTTTATAAAGTAAACTCGAGTACGTTCACATTATCTCCAGTTTCTCAAATGCAATTACCGCTTCGATCTCCATGGAACAAATAAAATATTCTTTATCCATATATTGAAATTTCATTCTCAATTTTATTAAGCTACGAGAGTGTCGACCATGCGGGATGCAATTGCCTCAGGCATCTTATCGAACATTATGGAGTTCCTCTATCCTTTTAACCATCCTATCCTTTCAAATAAATTCAAGTATGCCCATACGACCCCCAGTTTTCCAATGCAATCGTCATTTCGATCCTCAAAGTAGAATATTCGCTACTGAAACTTCATTTTCAATTTTATTAAACGACGAAAGAGTTGAACCAGCGCGATGCATACGTCTTGGAGGCGGTCTCGCGTCCACGGGAACATAATTTCGACTCTCGTTCCACGCGAGCAGAGGCGGTTCCACGCCGAAAACGAAGGGGAGCCTTTCGGTTAGGCGCGCCGCAGAGATAATACCGAGGCACTCGCGTAATAAAGCTGCGACGCGTCCCGCTGCGCGGAAACCGGACGCGGCGAGCGCAGCCGCGGCCCAATTACCGTCCGTCCTCGCGAACCCAACACGCGAGCGACTCCCGAGTCAATTTATTCGGGAACGTCCCCGGGTATTTGTCCCAGCGGGTGGCTCGTGGAAGCATTCGGAAGTAGTCTGATCGGGTTTGCGAGGGATTGTCGTGGTCACGTGACGTTTCTCATTCTCCCTGAATGGTTGGCTGTTAAGAAAAAGGATTATTGCGGAGGAGGGTTGCTTGGAGCAAATTAACGTGGCTTCTTTGAGGATCGGTACAATGTAGGTGGAATTTAATCTGCTAGTGAAGGTGCCTTTTGATTGGTTGCTTGTCTACAGTGAAATGTGGGTCTGCGATAGGTAAGAAGTGACGAATGAGGAATTTTAAGTAAATGAGTTGCGATTGATCTCTAGATGGTCCACCTCTGGAGATTCGGGTAACTACGAAATTCTGACTATTGCTGTGTTGTTACATTTAGAAGATGTGCGACGGACTTTTCCGATTCTGAAAGTTAGGATGAGCTTGTGGATTTCTTCGTGATTAATGCCATTAATGGTGTCTAATGTGATTGGATAAGAGTGTTTTTCTAGTGTATATGTGATAAATTCTCATCTCTATCTCTATAGAGTGGCCTCACTGGCCCTTCTATATTGCATAATTTCTTATCCTTTGTCGCTCGACAACTCATCTCTGTAGGGGCTCGTTGGCCCCCCTCTAGCTCGGGTTCCTCGGGGTTGCTAAGCCTGTACTGTAGCTTACAAGAACACAGCTACAGCCCCTGAGGACTCGACTGGATAAATGCAACGTTTGGGTCTCGATTTCTCGTCTTTGACAGCGGCTGAATAAACTTTCACGATAATTAATAACCGTGTTCCCAACAATCTAAAATTTCCTGATGTTTCAAAGAAATTTGTTTTCAGAAAATAAGGGCGCAAACATTTGAATTTTAATCGTTAGTCTCCTAAAGTTAAGTGTAATTTATTATAATAGAATCAAGACCTATACAACAAGCATTGATGTTTCTCGTTTAACCTGGTACCCTCTGCTTTGTTTACAGAAGCTCCCGGCGAACTAGGATGGGTGCTCACCCTAGTGATAGTGTCCCTAGTGTCGGCTGGCATCGGCGCCGTGGTGATGGTGACGCTTCTCCACTGTCGGAGGTCAGTACGATTCCGTAAGTCCATAATTCCTTAACCATCGCGAGCGAGCCAGCCTCCGTGCGCGCAATCCGATTCAATCTTCGACCTGGAACGGAGAAATTTATACGTTTATTCGCGGAATCTCGAATTGAAATATAAGAACGTAAACAGCTGCGCGCACGGTCGGTTTCCGCGCGGGAGATTGCCTTCGAAATCCGTACGAAGGGGGCAGGCATCCCGATACGGATCGGCGATCAAGATCCGCGAAACGATCGCGGTTTAGCCTGGGCTCCTCGCGCTCGATTGCCCGGCCGATTCCCCTTAAATTACCACCTACCCGCAATGCATCAAAATCGAGAGAACCGAGTCGTAATAAGGAAGGCGGGGAACCGGTCGCTAACTAGATCGGACCCGATCCGAATCCGTGGTGTGACAAGACAAAAAACCCGCAGAGGAAACAACGAAAAAAGCCACGGACGGAGAAGACAGCCGTAACTACGGCCAGCCCTTCGTTCCACCGTGACGAGAAAATCGAGGATCTTTATAGCGATCCACTTCCTCCGACGATCGAGACAAAGACTCGTATTCAGAGCGCGGTTAACGCAAACTTTTATCGCCGTTACTTCTCGCGTCGAGATTTTAATGACTTGTCGGCTAGAACATGGTTACAAAACCACAACAGATCGGTCATTATACAGGCTGGCTTCTCTGGGTGCACCATTTTTTAAAAATATGAATGCCCAGTAAGTCCGTGACAATTTTGAGACTTACTTTAAACTCATTTCAACGTACACGATTATTCAAATGAACCATTCCCTTGAAATTATCCAATCCTTCGACGGGTTCAGTTTCTGACAGATTTGTGTTTTCTGTTGCAGGATGAAGAGCGCTGGTGGCAGAGGTAAGGATTATTATAAACCCGGTGTTCTTATGGGTCACCTCGTAGTTGTTTCGGGTTGCGTTTATTAACGTGGCTGATAGGCTTACGTTTAAGCTGCTTATCGAGGTTACAGTTAACGTAGCCAAGTATACGTCCTGTTATTATTGGAATCCTCTATCGGCGCGATTTACGTTTCGTAGCCGTTTATTTGCTTAGGATAATAAATTACCGCGTTACCGCGCTAACGCCCAGATTAGGATCAGCCGTTGGTCAGAAAATTGCCCGCCGCGAAATTATGCGATCGGTGGCTCGTTCAGGAAAATCGCATTCCTCTTTAAGAGTACCACTGCGCGCGTTGTCGTACCGTCGTCGAAATGCAACCGAAAATTACCAAGCAATTATCGAAATCGAAAAATGCGAAACCTTGTGCGACCGGTGTTGCGTGCGTTCCGAATAATTGCGCTCCGATTATGCGAAATTGGGACAATAGGCATGTCAATCGAAGCGTGCCGAGAGTATAGCAGTAACGCTGACAGGACACGTTGGAAATAGTTCGTAATTATACCAGTTCCCTGCCGGGATATCGGTTCGCTGTTCCACCTTTTCTACGGTGCCCTTGTCGCTCGTTAAAATATGATATCCGCCCCCTAATAATTCCTTTTTGAAGTTCCCTTTGTGAATATTCCGTGAAACCTTATCTGAACTCAAAAGGCCACGTGTGCTGACACCGAACCGCCATCGATGAAAGGGATTCAAATTCTTTCAAGAGAACCTGGCTGTAACGTGCTTGTGTAACGCATAATGATCGCAATTCAGCAATGGACACACTTCCGCGATATGCTTCGGTACCTTTCGTATTAAATTCTTGTGTGCTAGATCTCATTGAGAAATTTTAATAATCCTAATGGTATCCGACTACCACGCAGAGAACCCGGGTTCGAATGCTGGATGTTCGCTCCAATTTTTCAAGGTATGGTTAATTAGATGCATCGAAAGCCTGTGGCTTAAAAATAAGAAGTAATGACAAAATTAAGATAACAACGACAAAAATGGTATATAAAAAAGAAAATGTACACGATAAGTGAAATGTGGACGAAGAGAAAGTAGCTCCCATGCATTATAAAATAAACAACCGAACTTCCACGAAACAATCTACTGTCCTCCACGTGTGCCCATATTGTCCTGTCTACTTCCTGCACGTACGTTATGTGACCACGAAACAAAGCAGGTACGAAGACACTCGCCTAACAAGTAAGACTACCTCCAGCCCAGGAAATCAGCACCAGTTAGGACACCTACGAGTACCCCAGACGAATGGCTCGAGGCTTCCCAGAAGCGAAACAGACGAATCGATCTGATTCCTCGGAACGAGATGAAAAACGGAAATAGAAGATGAACCGACGCGTAGCGAGAGCCAAGGTCCGAGGACGTATCCGGATGTCGTCTCCCGCGACGTTTCTGCCCAGCGCCCAGGGGTCTCGTTGCGTCGATAGAAAGATACACGAGCCTCACACAGCCGCGCGACGTCGATTGGTGCAAACGAGATGCATAGTAGAGCCGTGGCGTCGAGTGTCAGCGTCGATTGGAGTTTAATTAGTTCGCATAATGAAAGCCCCTCACGGCGGTACAGTCAGCCAGGCTACCGTTGGCTCTTCGTGCACGTAAAGGGTACCGGAGCGGTGCGACGGACGGGCGACATAAAGGACAGTGAAACGCGTCTAATTAACTTTCTGATTTAAAATCACCCGCGGCACGATACGATCAACGAACTGGGAACGAAAGGAGACGCGAAGGAGGGAAGAAAGAGGAAGAAGGGACGGCAGAGAGGTGGGGACGAGGGCAGGTTACTACCAGGACGGGATACAAGGGTCACTCGAATTAATTATCCAACACTCGTTTTACCAAACCTCCCTGGACTCTGTCGTCGATCTCCACCGATCCACGATTTGCCTCTTAAGTGCCTTTCACACCGAAACGTCGTGACCGCTCCTGAGGACGCGGGGCAGGCGCCAGAGGCGTCTATTTAGCAGACGCCGTCTGCACGCTCCGCCGTAGAAAGGTGTAGTAGGTGGCATTATTTTCTGAGACAACGATTGTCCGCGACCGATCGCAGAGGTTAAGCGAGGCTTGGGTTAAGCCTAGCGTGCGAAGCTAACATTTGAATGGCTGACTAATTGGCGATACCGTTCGTGAAAATCGAGTTGAATGTATCTTCGAATGTTAGATTGGTCGACGAGGGAAAAAATATTTCGAATCATTGGTGAAATCCCATTTAAATTTCTTTGTCAGTTGGGACATGTGTCGCTCCAAAGACGCCTCGAAGAATAAAGCGACAAAACACTTTTATACTAACCCCAACTCAACCATACCAATTACTATCCAGAAGAGTACGCCTTCAACGGCAGCCTCGGCAAATCGTATCCTGAATCCCTTTATAAGATTTTAACCACCATCTATACGCGTTTCCTGTTTATTCTCAAGAAGTCGCAAAGACTCGAACCCTTTGAATCGCCTCTAGATTTCTATCAATTACATTAAAACCGCAATGGCCATTGTCGCGGGCTGAACGTATTCGCCGTGGGTTTACTTATCCGACGTGTATGTAAACTTGTCAGCATTGAAATTATAGCTGTACTCGCGTGCGGATGTAATTGGAATTCAGCTTGGAAAGTACACGGGCGGCAAGTTCGTTAAATAAACGACGCGCGGACTTTGCGCGTGAGCCAGGCGAGCAATTTCATAGCTCGCGAAGAAAAAAGAAAAAAAAAGAAAAAGAGGAACGAATTAATGAAACTTGGTTCGAAGTGTACAACCGTCGGGTTAAGAATCGCCGCGTAGAATGCCAACGGACAAGAGAGGCGTTAATGGACGGCTGAAAGAGGCGGTTGCGCAAAAAAGACGAGAGCCCGTACACGATGGGTTCCCGTACGATCGGCGGGACACAATGGCGATTCGAGGCCCGAGTAGAATAGGTGAATCGAATGCTTTAATCGGCTTATCGCGCGTTCCCCCGACCGATACGCCGAATCAGCTGCTGCACCCTGAAAGACTCAACGACAGGATCGTGCGCGTTCGTTGAAAGCTCTCGTATTCTTGACCGGTTTTTACGCATTCGAATCTTGAGCCGGTGTGAGGCACTTAACGCGTAATATTTTGTAAAGGGAGTGTCGTTCGCTAGATATAATTCTTGATTATTTCGACCGGCCCTGTCGTTAGCGTAGATTATTATTCGGTCTGGAATTGCGGGAGCTTTCTTCGTACACTGGTCACGATACGTGTCTTTATGTTTGCCTTCTTCTTAACCTAGTCGTATTCTATTGTAATCCTATGTTTAAATGTTTAAATCTTGCTCTCTATGGTGTACCATTTACTGGTTATATTTCCTTTGCTCTCCTTTGAAAAACGAGTACTCCAGCCCAATACCCATGAAGACGTCGTCCTGAAATTCAGATTAACAACGTCGAACGCCCATACACGAACGACGGTGCTTTCCACCGAATGACTACAAAAATGAATCCTGAAAGTTAAGTGTTACAGAAAATAAATTTGAATGAAATACCTAAACTTCGACGGAATTACAATAATAAATGTTTGATTATGTAGTTTTTAGTAGTCTGTAAATCAAATTTAATCACAGTACAAATTTTCAACAGCGTTAGTCTGACAGACAACGTATTAAGAATAATTACTTTAGCGATGAATCATTATTCTTCGCTTTGAAACACTCGGTAACCTTTCCTCTAATTCTACGAGCCTGTCGAAGTCGGCGAGGTCGTTAACTCGGTAAATGATTACCAGAATCCTACCGGAGCTGGGAACACATTCACCCGTCACGAGATTTCACAAAAAACCGCGCTCAACGTACAATTTTCTCGCTTCGCCGGAAATCTTTTTGACGTAACGACGCCTGAAAACGAATCGGGGTCGAACGCGTTCGTAGCTCCCTGGGTCGGGCCCTGCGGCCACGCGGAGAACTGCCCCCAGGAAATAGAATACGGGCCCTCGGATCACCTAGCCGAGGAGAGGAGATCCCTCTCTTCTGTCCCTTCCGCTGACACGACACGCCACGATTTTCACGCGTCCCGTTCGCCGTCCAATTAATATTCGAACCATCTAATACGGTAAATCACGCGGGGTAACGCGTCCACGGAAGGGCGACGCGAAGCGACAGGCTGGAAAAGGAACGGATCCGATTACCTCTCACCTCGTCCAGTAGGTGGGCACGATGACGTAAACGCGGTGGAAGCCACCGCGCGACGATTCGCAAACACGGTTGTTGGTCGTTTTCAGAAACTAATCTTGTCGCGTGTTATTTTATTATTCGTTTCCTAAATTATTCTTGTGTCGAAGTAAAAGATAAAACAGACCGTAAATGATGTAAAAATATGTGGTGTTTTCTCAAAAGAACTCAATCGTGAAAACCACCCTTATCGATGAGTGTCGGTTCTCAGCCTCTACCCTCGTTTCTTCGTCGCTTGGAAACATTGAAATGTACCCGATAATGGGCCGCCGTCGTTAAGATACATACATTAACCGACGCGTGAAAAAAGTTCTCGATCGACGCTGGATCCTCTCGTCCAGCCATTACCAGGTAATCCCGCGGACGTTGCATAGATCCTAATTATGCAAATTGCGATGTAACGTCTTGTTATAAATACACCGGGAACGCCGGTGCCCCGTGAGACAGAATTAAATTTCTCCTCGGGTACACGTCACCCTGCTTTTCATTCCGGGACGTCAGAGGCGCATCAACGATTATTCTCGCGAGCTTCTTGGAAGAAGAAGAAAATAGCGTCTAGACGAGGCACAGGTAGAAGTGGAGATTGTGCTCGTTGCACTGTGCCCGCGCACACGTGTGCGTGGACGGTGGTGTGTAAGGGCACCGCGATAAACGAGAACCAGTCTCTCTATCTTCTGGCAAGTGACAGCCGCCAAGGCGCGTCGCGCGAGCCTTCGCCGACCAGGACGACGAAAACCACCGAGAGATCGGGACGACGAAGAAGACCACGGCGACGAACGACGGCGGAGCTTCGTACGTGCGTAGGTTATGAGGTACCACCAACGTGAAAGAGCGAGACACCGCCATGGGATTCCCATAATCTCGTTTTTTCTCTGGAGCATTCTCATGCCTACTTACCGCGAGGCGGCACTTCTGATCTATGAATTCCGAATTCCTTTTTTTTTATTTTCTACCGCTCTGTCCTGCCCTTCCTGCCTTTCTCCTTCTGCCCTTTCCTTCTCCTCTGCCCGCCGGTGCTCCCATACCATCCACCCCGAACCACGCCGCGTTTCTATGAGGGCCACGATGACGGCACGATGACGGGCGCACAATAAGGTCATACAGAAAGCAGCCGTTTTTTTCCGCTCTGTCTCTCTCCATCCATACGCGAGCTCATGTCATAATGCGGTGATTCGCGTTCGCGTGTGTGCGTAAAGGATATACACCCTATACAGGGTGTCCCGGGAGATTCTTCCTGCAAAAACCAGTAGAAATTATGGAGTAAAACTTTTTTTACGTGGACCTCCGTTATGGAGAAGAACAGCTTTGATAATCTTGTTACTCGATGCATTTCCATTTTTCATGTTGGAAATCGTAAACGCTTTTATTACATGTCGGTTCGGTACCGATCGCTTCGCGTACCGTGCCGGTGCTCTTACGGAATCGGCTTTTGTTTTCCAACGTCACAACGCATTCTTTTCTGCCGCGAGCAATCTAAACAAACCGTATATACACATCAGTCGCAAAGAAATTGTTTACCACTTCAAATTTATACGTTGCTCTGAGAATCGCTATTCGTTACGATTACTGGGACACCCTGTACAAGAGTATCTATGCCCGCGACCCTGCAGCCCTGTAAGAACCCGCGAGTGGCAGCCTGTAACGTAACAGGATTCCCCTGTCGGTGCTCACCTGGCACTTCACGAGCTTCGTCTCGATTCGTAGGTCCTCGAGCCTTCATCGGTTGAAACTCGAGCACGACTCGCGCTGGCGATCCCGACAACGGATTTTCCGAAGGGACAAGCCTCAACGACCTGCCTTTTTGTTTCTGTTCCAGCGGGCTGCTGCGGCGTCGGCGTCGAGGACTCGAACGCTCAGGAAGCCGGTGGTCCAGGTGGCGGAGGCGGGTCTGGCGGTGGCGTGGCCGTTATACCTGATCGACCACCCCTCGAATTAGACAAGCTGCCGCCTTATCACGACGTCGCGCCTAGTCCTGGTACGTATCCCTAAGCACTCCATTTGTCGCCGCTCAGGCGCGATAAATCCAATCGATACAACTCGGATACAAATTTAGACATTAGAATTAACATACCAGACAGAAAGAATTACCGAGAAAAGAAAAGAATTTATTGGAATGGGATCGCTGCAAGATGGAATCGCTTTGCATCGATGGAAATTCATATTAGAACTGCGAAAGGACTCCATTTTAAAGAAACCATTGACCCGCTATCGACGATCATATTCTACTGTAACTCGTATTTACGGTATTATAATAGTGTGTCAGGCATTTTCAGATATTGCCAAATTTTTTCGTAGTAAATTAGTAGTTCGTTTGCTAAAACGACATTTACTAGTAAAGTAGAAATAGTGATCGTTGATAGATTCCTTTACGCGCGGATCATCGATGACGGACATACCTACTGAAAGGATACCGAGTGACGCAGAGCGTTTAATAAATATATCGTCATCCTTGTAGCGAAAGAATGCCAGTGTCCGTAATCGTTGATCAACGCGTTTAACAAAACTGGCGCATGTCGTTCTATCGATTCATGGGATTTGATTCAAGGGCACAATGTGTGGTCGTGGTTAGGCTCGCGACGCGGCGGCGGTACGCCAGGAGTCGTCACGACGCCTCTGACTCTTCCGCAACACAGAAGGGCCATGAATCTCCCCGTGGAGAACCATTACACCCACATGCAGACGGACGAAGCGCTCTACGCAGAACTGGACTCGCAGGCCGCGAGCTACGCGAGCGATCTTCAACTACAAATGAGAGGAAGCTCGACGTACGGTACAACTTCCGGCGGCCAGGACGACGAATACCACGAGCTGGACGCCGCGAGGTTACATCGTCATTACGGCGGAGGCAACGAGGACGTATCATTACAGAGGGACACGCTCCGTACGCGGCACAGTAAAAGGTAAATTCATCCTCGTAATCAACCTCTATGCAACTGGTCATATACGAAACACCCAACTCTCTTCGTTTTGTTTAACACTTTAACTGTCTCTCTATTTAGAAAGAGCGAACAATTTAAAATATGACTTGCTAGTTTAATATACACGGTGTTCCAGTAGCTGAGACGATTTCGAACCACAATTTCCTTTGCAAAAATGTCGGATGGTTTTGAATTCAAAAACGAAGCACCATCCGACATTTTTGCAAAGGAAATTGTGGTTCGGAATCGTCTCAGCTACCTTCCCATTCCGATTCTTACACTAATCCATGTGTATTAAACTAGAAGTAGGTCGTTGAATTCTTCTTGATGTCAGCTACATCTTCGTAAAAACATATGTAGCACCATCGACCATCAACTTGTATACTAGGAACATACATATCAACATCACTCATCAGTCAATCAGTAAAAAATTAAGTTATTGTAAACTAGAATTTTTTAAATACCATTTTGAATTAATTTTATCGCGAAGTGCATTTTAGAATTGACAATAATCGAATGACTTTTGTTAAGGACATATCCTATTAAACAAACTTTTATGACATCACATCAAATATTTCGTTGAATGTCACCGATTCCTTTGTATATCTTCACGAATTATTTCTAAACAGCTATTATACATTCTAGCAAGACAGCTATTGCATAATGGCCGATCTCAGATATGGCGAGTAACGTTTCCTTATCTGTATTTTCGAATATAAAATACATCGTTCCCATCTCTTATCTGCTATTAAAGATATAGAAATTGGTATTGGCTTTTTCGGTATGCAAATCACAGACATTCGTGGGTCTCGGGAAAGGTGACAGCTGGCTAATCGTTCATTCAGATAAGGCTCGACTAATTGCCATGCGAGATTTTTCATCAAATTGAGACGAGAAATATCCATAGGCATTTATTGCAGCATTATTTAGCATTTCAAATGGGATAACCATTGGCCATCTACGCGTTCATCAACTTCGAGACGGGACAATGTAATAAACACCGCTAGCAGCCTCTTAATGGAGATTAAACTGATGAGTGGGTTCACTGTGACCTCGTGACGCCAATTGAGCGTTAATGGAACTACGCACTTTTTGTGTACATTGTTGACATCGTGACGAATTCAATGACCAACATAGCATGGCGTTCAAATCGACCTTGAGTACGTACAAACATAAATTTATGTACCCACGATTCGCAATAACAGAGAATTGCACTTGCTCGAATATCAGATACCATTTTATCGTAGCCGCTTGCTATTTTACTTTGTTTCTAGTCCCACAGAAAATACCATTCCTTCTTGCCTATTAAAAATTCCTATTCCTTCCTAAATGAATCAAAAAATACACGCCTCGACTAGCTTCACTATCGTAAGAAGTCTGAATAAGCAGCGTCCATGTCAGTTTCGCGCGGTTTTACGGATTCGCGAGGGACAGATAGCTGCAGTCGCGTAACATTACCGTCTCCGTGACGCTTAAAAGCATCGCGTTACCTGAAAAACAGAACTCGTTAAAATGTACCGTTGCGAGATCGCGCATAATTATCTTGTCAACGCGCATTCCTGCAACTCGAAGAGATACACTTTGAAGGAAATACGCCATTATAGGACGTCGCGACGCGCTACTAAAACATCAGCATCTGAAAGTGTTATCGCGAATGAGTTCCCACTAATTACACGTTTATACCCAAGTACGCAACCTGTTCTCGTGAATGCACGCTAGAAACGTGATTCTGAACGTCTTCTCGCTTGCTAGTCTAGAAACCGGTCGAGTGAAGTGTCCATTTGGCTCGACATCGATCCCCGTGTTCGAGCTTCAGATAATACAGAGGTCTGGCTAACCGGCCCTTCCTCGAAGCCAAATTTTGAGACGGGACAAGCAACGGGTCGTTTGGCGCCACGATAGAGCAGGGAACGTCTCCTAAAACCTTATCTCCCCGAGCATTAACGCCTCGAACGACGCTTAAACTTGTAGAACGAGCCAATCGATCGACCGACACCCGCTAACGCGGTAATTCGATATTTTTCAGGTTACAAGAACCGGATTACGAGATGTACGAGAACGGGCCGTCAACGCCCGTGCCGCCGGGTCAGATGCAGCACCACCATCACCACCACCACCACCACAATCACCACCATCATCATCAGGAGCTGCGAATCGGCAGCAGAAACGGGGAGCATCCCTCGTACCAGAACACGGCGTACACCGGAAGCGACGCGGAGCCGGACGGACCGACGCTGAGCAGCGCGCCGAGCAGCGCCTACTACAGCGACCTGAGCTCAAACTCGGCGAACCAGCAGATCCCCACAGGACCGTCCTCCAACAACAACACGAACCTACATATCAACTCGCAGGGCCTGGAGACGCCGCAGTACCGATTGGCGGCGATAAACGAAAGCGCAGTTCCGTCGGACTACATCTAAGTGAACCGAAGTTAAAAAGTTACGGGATTCGAAACTGAGTGAACAGTTCGACTAAACGATAAACGCGTCAAGTGTTTCCGTTCCTTACTATGTGAGGAGATTATTCGAGAACGCCGAAGAAGAGGAACACCGCTCGACGATCAAGGCTCAGGAATATTTTTGTACAAACCGGGTGGCTTGAGAAAGCTCGTGGGAAAATTAGTGACATCGCCAGTGCGTGCCTAACATTTCCAAGTGCCCGATATTGGATTAAGTGGTGAAGGAATTCGACGGTCCTACGTAAAATGTAACGAGATAAGTGATTAAACGCAATCGGTGACTACGTATCGTAACCTTCAGCAGTGCCATAAATATTTCCAACTCGCTATTCGTTCGTCATTTCGCGGGCTAACGAGCGCTCGTCGACGGTTGCGCGTTTCCTAAAACGATTTCGCATCGCTGGATTATAGCGCCGCGTAACGCACGGGGTCTTAAACTGCGAAAGCGTTACGATCCTAAATGAATAGTATCGCGTGAAAATTATAGGGAAGGGAATCGCCAACGTTGAGGCTACCGTGCAGCCTTGCTCTTGTGCGTCGAGAAGAAGGTCGAGTTTCCAATGTATTCGCGGTTCTCTCATCCGTATCCGGTGAAACGAATCGTTATCTGTTTCTATAACACGTTATATAACAAAATTCTCGCGCGTGTGGTAATTCGACTTTCGAACAGGAAACGACGAACCTAACAATCATTATTCTCGTCTCAGGGACTGTCTAAAATTATTGTCGAAGCTAAATCAATCGGACCGTTGAAAGTCAATTACATTGGTTTATCTTTCATCTTTTCGTGCAAATATCTTGCAACCATTTCAATAAAAGACAGACGCAATAGAAAAATAGAAATCGTGTCCCACACGATTCACGACCGTGGAAGGTAGCTTCGAACGGTCAATTGATTTTGATCAGACCATAGTCTTCCGCGGCTTATCGACGCGTTCATGCCGGCGTGCATCATCGGGTGGCTCATACATATTGTGCCGAACAGTGAAACATTGAAAAATCGCGTCGACGTGAACGTAATGCGCCAACGTATCGCTAGAAACGCCTAAACAACGCATCAGCGAGCACTACTCGCTCTCAGACACCGTGGTCGGTTCACCAGGGTTCGTTCGCGAAACGAGAGAGTGTTTCCGCGGAAGCCATGGAAGTGCACGAAACTACGCGGAATAAAGTCGTTTCGAGGAACAGGTGTTTCCTAATTTGACGTTCGAGGGCTTTCACTCGGCGCTCACGGCAACGTCCGCTCTGGTTTTGCATTTGCAGCTAATGGCACGCGGTGCTGCAGCTCCATCCTTCCTCGCCCGTCAATTCGTCCTGTTTCCGTGAATGCGATTAATGTTTCGTCAATTCGAGGGATCTTCGCGTTGGACGGGTTCGAAGCAAAAACTCGCTCGAGTTATTGACTTTCACTCGAACGCAAGTTTGGTCGAGGCCATATTTTTACCAAAGTGGTCTATAGAGTGGCAGGTTAAGATTGCATAAGTCGCTGGTCTCCGATAATATTTGCAAAAGGAAAAGAAAGTTGAAAATCTTGGACAGACTTTTCTCTTCTGTCACATTGGTTTCCACTAAGCATCACTTTAAATAAAAATAAAGATTCATAGTTAGACAACGCACAGGTTTCATATGTATTCTTCTTTGAGTCCGATTTGGCCACCCGACGCACGGCGAGGGTTCTTCATTCGATTTGCATTAGAAGGGAGACAGCTTCGTAACATCGTGCGAAAGTATTCGTCACTGAATCGTTAAACAGAATCTCCAGGCCTCCATCAGGGACCAATCGTTTATCTTCGACCCTCGTTCGATGGAGGAATTAATTCGTTTCACCCGATTCGGCAGGACTCGTTTAATCGTCGCCGTCGTGTTCTCTTAATTACCTTCCCTCGGACAGTCCCGATTGTTCCTTCGACAAAACACGAACTCGAGAAGACGTTCCACCTCGAGATTCTCCGCAGCGGCCGCGTTTACGTCTTTCATTCGTGTCTCACCTGCGCCTGTCCGTCGACGCGCAACCACCGCACACCTTCGAAGCGCGTATGCGATACCCAAGCACGTTAATTTTAAACGCTCGAATAAATCTTTGCAAAACATTTTAACCCTCTACCAGATAATGTGCTCGATTGATCACAGAAGACGATCGATCTCTGTTAATTGAGAAAATTTTTTTTCGTAAAATTAGCATCATTCAGTTTCAATATAGACATATCTAATAGCAAGAGATGGCTTCTCTTTTGAAAAATAAAAACAAAATTCAGAGGGTTAAGTCGAATTTAAAAATAACATTTAAAAATAATAGCTGGTGGAGTTTATGATGGTATTCTAGGTCCTACTGCAGGTTCCTCCTAGATGTATCCTGCATCCATCGTTCGCTCAAATAATCAATTCTAACTCTGCCACTTTCCTTATACCGATTTCGTTAAAAATAAGTGGGCCAGATTTCGATATTAAATACGAATCTTCTGGTTACTTTTACCGCGTTCCTTCCAACGTCTTTCGCTCGACTGACTGATATTGGCGATGAGAAAAGAAACGAGACACCGGTCCTCGGAGGTTACGTACCGATCGTGGGCATCAGATCGATGCCATTCACGCAACGAAATGTTCTCTTTTTTCTAAGAGTTTAACAGCAAATAGTTACCACGTCACTTCGAAACCTCCAAACCGAACCATACATTTTTCCTCTTAATTGTACACGTACCACGGTTACGCAACGTGAATTATACCGAGCTACCGCGACCTCATAAATTACCCGGGAGGCCCAGCTCGTGGGAGTACACAAAGAACCACGGCGTTTCGTTGGCCGAAAACCGTTCCGCGGCGCAAAATCATTCACAGCTACTCCGTTTAACTATACACACAAGGAATCGTGGACCGTGCAACAACAGATGCAACAATGCACTCCCTCGCGGCCACGCAATAATTAATTGCGCCCCCGCGGCCACAATGGCGATAGGGAGAGCCGGTCTTGGGCTGGCGCACGGGGCATTATTTCGCCGAAAAAAATCCCACGAACGCGCTGCCGCGTCGGACGGGTGGCTCTTATCGTGGCCGTGTTACGCGAACGGGAACGTATTATGGAATTCGTTGGTACCCGTGCTTAATTAAGGCCCGCCTCGAACTACCCAGAGTCTTCCGCATTTGTGGGATCGGCTTGCATTGGTCGGACACGCGGCTGTTTCGCAGCTGCGCTGAGAAATTTATCTCGTGGCTCGAAAGGATCTTAGGAGAATCCTGAGAAAACCTTCGGGACGCACAAAGTGCATTCGGTCAGCGTGAATCGTCTCGGGTTAAACTTTACTTCGGGGCGCTAAAAATTATTGACTATTTTTTACCGTTTAGTAAATTCAATTTTTTTGTTTAACACTTAAACTTCCGTTTTTGTGATCTAGGCACCAAAAGCTGCTAAATGGTACGAAAAAGAAGTCACTAAGTTTCAGCGCCACGAAGTAAAGTTCAGTCAAGGTTCGTAAACTGTCGGAATAAGGTTGCGACTATTTTAACTCTGGTTTAACTTTTTGTTGCACCCCCGTCGCTAAATTTCTGGGTGTGCCACTGCGAAGGATACGGCCGTTAGGACTGTTAGGACCTGCCCTGACTGAACACACACCACCATCACGTCCCTGCCACGGGATATATAAATTATACATGTAAATATACGGGCGGTCAGGCCGAGAGAGAGATCGAACCCGAAGATATCGAGAAATGTGTTGGCGACCCGCACACACCTCACCGTTCTTTTCCACTTCCAGCGTATTCCCATCGTCGTCTTTCTCTTCTTCGCACGAACAAGCTCACGCATCTATGTACGTGCCTATGGCGAATACCTTTGTCGCCGCTACCACCGAAACGTCCTTATCCCGCGCGAGCGCATACCGCTCCCGCTAATTCCTATGCATTTTTCGAATTACCGGTGAAATCGCAGCAGCACCGCGTTACTTGGCGCTCACGGCGTTCCCACAGCGGAAAAATGTCCACGGAATGAAGCCGCCTGAGAGGTTGAATTGTTCCTCGCTGCTTCTGGCGCACCGCGTGCCGTGATAACGAATCCTCGCAGATCGATGATGCCTGCGGAGAATTTTGAATACGTTCCACTTAAGATTTGCTTCTCAGTTCGTCGAAGAATGATTAGAATTGTCGGTACGATGCAGTATGTGTATCCAGAGATAAGTACGTTTGCCGATTTCTTGGAGCTCGTTATATCCAGAAACGTATTTAACGAGATTTTACTGATCATCGTTTGGTAGTCTTTGTTTCTGCAGGTACATCTCAATGGTACACCTGGTATGTTCGTCACTTTCTGTAAAAACGAAAATAGCGGATCGTCGGTACAAATTTCTCGTCACTTACCGGTATCGCAATCCCTAATCAAGATATACAATACAGGTACCAAAGCATTCGCATGGAAAGATATTCGTAGAGGACTTACTTAGGTAAAGTGTAATGCGATTGAGACGAACCAGTATTTTTGGTACACATTGTGTGATAGCGGTGGGGAAACTTCATTTAAAAATAAAATGATCATCGACCACCTTAATCATAATTTGATTCGTGTGATAGGACTGGATTAAGAAACGAGATATTGAAATTAAGGTATTGGTGATTGTATAATAGCATACTTCTTCGTTCGAGTCATTAATTTGGAAGATATCAAACCTTTACAAAGCGACTGTGCAGACAGTTGTAAAAGATTGAAAACTTCGATGTAATAAGTATCACTTAACTGTCACTGGTGAACACTCACTTTCGGTTAATATTCATGTATCCTACGATTGTCGGTATCCATGCACAGAGTGGCGCAATAGAAGCAGGCCGTGTTGAAATCCACGTTGCGTAGAAAAAAAAACCCTGTTAACTATCGATTAGAATCTAATGCATCATTGAGAAACGACAGGAAACCTCAGCCTATCTTAGAAACGCCGTTTCGATCGCGACAATTCGAGATACTTCGCAGTACAAATCACCAAGAACTTCAAAGCCGACCTCGATAATCACGCCTGAGGTAAAAACTCACGCTGAGTTTCGATTGCGTCATTAAAAACGTTCCCGCGACCCAATCGTACGATTGGCTTATCGAACTATTATATTTTCTTGCGATGTGATGTTTCTTGCCCAACGATTCTGTAATTATAACGACGATACGCTTATCTCTCGATTTCAAATGAAAATCGGGGGATAGGTGTATACAAAGTGTAATATAATCCTTAGTTTAAGCGAACTCTAACCGCGAGAAACAATGTATAATAAAAACGAAGCGATCTTGTAGAATTGCGTTGTAAAGTATAAAAGATTTTGTACGTGTCGATATTGTAATTACTGTTAACCGTTGTTTTTATTTGCTTCTGTTGTAATTACTGTCGATTCGGTCGTCGAGATCGAGTATCGAGACGAAACGGTGCTAAGATGAAATTTTACACAGAATTCATACATTATCTTTCCTCATTTGCACCCGTGGAAGAACGTCCATTGACAGTTGCCTTTAGGCAAAGATTTGAAATCAGTGTCTCGCTTTATGTAGACTTTTTTTTCTCTTTAACATTAGCTAGCACGTCAAGTGTTATATAATATTGTTTGATAGTACACGATACAATGCCGAGCATTTCTAGATTTAAACAAAAAAAGTGGGCAACTTGGATTGTATACGTTTATGTCAAAGAAACATACGATGATCGTAACAGTTCTAAGAAAAGTATTCTTAGAATAACCGCAACCAAAAGGGCTAATAGTATCTTCTTATTTCCTTGAAAATCTTCGTTCGTAAAGACGGCTGGTTCTCGCACCGAAATCTTCAATTATTAACACCGGCGATGGTATTCGGGATTATATTGTAATCGATGATGCTCGTGTAAATCGAGTGCTTTGGACTGTACATAATATTACAAAGTGTAAAAAGTGAAACTATTTTATTACCGTGTACATAATTGTGAAACATTCGCGCACAGATATAGAAAATCGTTCTATCGCGCGGCAAAGTCAATTACTGTTCTGAATGCAACCACTGTTCAAAGGCATTGCACTTTTTTGTATGTAAGAAGTTGTACAGCGAATAAAGAGAAATTTCATACCTGTGGGCTGTCTGTATTTCTTAGAAACCATAACGTGTATCGCATAAAGCAAAAACCTGAAGAAGAAAGTACTTTTACCCCTACGTTAAGATTTCAATTCTATCTACAACAGTTCCATCACATTTACATATCCTTTACGTAAATCCATATTTCCATAGTTACATACTCACTGTTCGCTTCTATTTCTAATGAGAAAGTAAAGTTTTCGCATAACTAACTTTACAGGAATTTTTTAAAAAGAACATTATCAAAAAAGATGACAAGACTCTGAAGATAAAACATGTTCGTCGGTAACTAGACCGAGTAGTACCAGAGTCGGCCACAGTTGGAACTAACGTTCTTATACATTGCTGATAATGCAGAAACCCTATACATAAATACCATAATCTCATATTCAAATTTAAATTCTAAATTAAGTTTTCGCAATAAAAAAATAATTTCAGGATTTAACCGACGATAAAGTTCATGTAACCATTTACAGTGCCGATAATACAGAAACCATATTATAAAACTCGCGTGCCAATGAGTAGTACTCAAGTCGGCCACAGTCCGAAGCAACGTTCTTTTAAACTGCTGATAATACAGAAACTCTATACATAAATATCATAATCTGATATTCAAATTTAAATTCTAAATTAAGCTTCTGTAACGAGCAGCTATTGGGTAAATTATGAACAAATTACTATCTAAGTATCCTTAATTCTACAAAATGTAACTAGTTCTCGCGCAAAGAAATAATTTCACGATTCAACCGTCGGTAAAGTTCATGTAACCATTCACAGTGTCGGTTATGTCGGTTTGAAATGAAAAATATCATAAAATTATTTATTTCAATATACACACATTAAACATTTATACATGTTTGAACTTCACATTCTGTCACACCTTTAAATACAAAAAGTAGTTTCTACAATACAAAATGCTGTTCTACGTTCTAAATATTTCTTTAATTGAGGATTCATTTAGAGATATTCTTAACACGTTGACAACACGTTAACGACTACCAGACTAGTACTCATGAAAATTTCTATGATGCTATTCCGTTTAGAGTCAATTGGAAGCTATATAATCTAACATTTATCGCAGTACTTGATTTCGTAATTCCCACCAAGTTTACGAATCCTATCTAAATTTATTTTCATTAACCCCTCATCTTTGGAATTAAGTTCTTTAGTTTCTTAATGAACTGTGTATACATCCGTATATAATTGATGTGACTATCGATCTATTAATATTGCAATACTTGTGGTACAGTGTCAAAAGTTTCAGAACGCTATTTTTACACATTAAAAGATTTACAGTTCACAAGTCATACAATTACTCTGTTTGATCTGTTGTCAACGCCATAATTGATGTATAGCATCAAATCAAACTGTCACCAGTTTTCAATTTTCGATCACGCGCAACTATTTTAACCCAGAGTCCACCTTGCGCTCTGATCGTCATCCTAAATTTCGCTCGCACTTCTTCTTTTCCAGGAACTGATTGTAACCGACACTTCCTGAGGATTGCGCTGATCATGGATTTCATCTCAAGCATCGCGAATTTGTGCCCTGAAAGAAAGGTAAACGTTAAGGGAACTGTGACATGAACTGTGATCATTAATAATAGGTAACCTTTGTTTCAAAGATTACCTATGCAGTTCCTTGGTCCAGCGCTGAAGGGTAAATAAGCGTACGGGTGTCTTTTCTCAGAATTCTCAGGACTGAAACGCTCGGGTTTGAACGCTTCTGGATTAGGAAAATGATGTGGCAAACGATGCGTGCTGTAAGGGGACATGAGCACACCACAGCCAGCTGGTATCACGTGTTTCCCTAAAAGTTTGCATTTGTAATCATTACTTCATGGAAAGAAAATTCTTCGCTCACGTTGCACTTATCGTGTACCTTTTCTTTTTATATAAATCTTTGCTCCTATTATCTTCATTTTTTCGTTACTTCTTAAATTGAAACTACAAGGCTTGCAATACTTTATATGGAATGAAAATTTTGTCCAAGACTGAGGGTTAATTGAATGTCAAACGGCAAACTACAATCTCCGGTAAACTTTAATATATAAACAACGATGTCGTACCTATTTTCACATCTTCGCCAACCATTCTTGCTATGATCGGCACACTGGGATACAGTCGGAGCGTTTCTTTGATGCACATTTCCAAGCATCTCATCTCTTTCAAATCCTTGATTGTAGGCAGCCTTGAACTACCCTCGAAAATTTCGTCGAGCTCTTCTATACACTTCTCTTGCCATTCGGGGTGATTGGCTAGGAGGAAGATCGTTATCGCCGTTGCAGTACCGACCGAATCTTGACCCGCTAACATGAACGTGCAACACTCTTCGACGATATCTTCGTCGCTAAAGCAAGGGTTCTTCTCGTTCATCTCCACCATGTACTCGAGCAGAGACATTTTCTGAGACTTTTCCGTATCATCGCTAACTTTCGTATCCTTATTCCTCAATTGATTGCGTTTATCTTGCATCATTTTGAAACAGGTATCGAAAAGATCTCTTCGTTGCTTCTCCTCCTGCTTGCCGTGTTTGGTTAATCGATAAATCCATTCGATCAACAGCCAAGGCCTCACGAGACGATACAGAAACATTATTTGTCCCCTGTTAAAGAAGTTTGAACGTTTATTTCGCTGCACTCGAACCCGGTTGTTCGTTGTTCGTTTATCTAATTAACGAGAATGTTATCTCAAGAACTGTGATAATAAGTTTCAATTCTTACTTTCTAAATGGTAGATCGTCGTCCATTGGCATGTCGGATGAACGTCGACTCGCGCGGTTTATTCCCAAAACAGTCTCTGCAAACGATCATCGATCATTTTAAACATCGTTAAACGTCTTAAACGAACGTGTCAAGGGGTCTTGCTAATTTGGACACAAACATAATCGATTCTCAATGCGCTACTCGGGCGCTGTGATTGGTCGATCTGTTTTCTTAAAAACTAACGACTACATGAAATTCATTTTTACTGCAGTTCAATAGTAGCTAATCTTGTAGAATGCAAGAACGTTTTCTGAAGTGCCTGTTTGAGGAAAAAGGGAGAGGCCTTTTAAGCAAATGTTCTTCAGTTTTATAAGAGCTATCCAAATAACGAAATCGAAGATAGTCGGTATCAGTTTCTGAAAAAAACACCACCTAACACTTTATTCGAGACGCTCTGTACATTATTTGAGACTTGCTTAGATTTCAGAACGTCACGATGAATGACGAATTCGTTATGCACTTTTAATGACAAGACGTACGTATGTGTTATTGACACGTTAAGAATACCGCATTGTTAGGATAGCATGTTTAGCATGTTTAGTGACTCTTAGGCCGGGGAAGATGGGTCAACCGGTGCATTGTCGAGATAAAACTGATTTCCATACGTATAGGAAACAAAGCGTTTCGACTTTCGAACAATCGTAATAGGCGGCGTGCGTTCACGATCCGTGGACAATTGCTCAACGTCGACGAAAGATATTGTGCACATGTAAACGTGTTTTTATTGAAAGCAAAATTACAATAGATACTCGTGAGGTGAAAATCCAAAGTAAAAAATGCTAACAGTCGGTTGTTTAGAATAATGAACGTTTCGACCTATGGTTTAGGTCTTCTTCAGCGTGTAATTATTAATTACACCATAAGAAATGCCATATTATTTCATTCCTTTTTAATCTCATTTATAGTCTGTTTATTTAGAGTTACAATATGTTAACTGGACCTATGGTAATCATAAAAATTTTGTCGAAAAGAAATCTAGGTATGGAATGCAGAATTGAAGAGACGAGAATAGTAAAAATGATGGAAAATAGAAAAATTTAGTTAACCTTACGGTCCAAGCTGAATAATATTTTTTAAAAACTCATTAGGTCAATTTCAAGCACATTCAGGATTGTAAATGATCAGTGATGAATTATTTTATAGCAGTCTACTCTGACGTAACATGTAAACGTGACGCAACGATTTTGCAAATTATTCAGGATAGTTTAACGATTTTGATTAATTAAATGCAGGAGATTGGATGTCTCGATTGGCAAAATATTGACACTCTTATTCATACTCCGAGTGCATGTACGTGCTATATTGCACATCGCGGATGACACAATCGACTTCGAAGGAGGTACCATGTTTCCTTAATGTGTGTCACGTGCCACGGAATAATAAATTCGCGAATAATGGAAATCGAAAAAGTGGAGAGAATGCAAATAACGCAAGGTGTGTCCACCTCTTGTGATCTAAGCATTGTACCGTGATTACAAAGTATAGTATTAAGTGTTCCGACACGAGAGAAATAATTATCATCGCATTCAAGAAGTATCATAGCAAGTAAGAAGGAATAATAAACCACGCATTATTTATATCAACAAAACGTCTAGCTGTAAACAAATAGTATATTAAAAACTTGAAAGGTAGAATAAATTCATGTAAATATAATTATAGATTACACAAAAACAACTATACGGGAAATATTTAATTGGTAGTAAGATCAATGAACCAGAAAAATTGTTAAAGAATATATTCATTTTACCTATATTATGGAGGATGTGAAGATATCAATTTTTAATTTTTGTTGATAGTAGCATTTAGAGAAACTATTTGGAGAATTTTTTTTTTTTTTTTTTTTTTTTTTTATCGTTAGTAGGAAAATAGCGTCGATATTTACCACTCAGTATGTCGTAGACGGAATCGTTGATGAAAGAGGTGATGTTGATTTCCTGGTTATCCTTTTCAAAGAACTCATTCATTAAATGGTTCGCGCATTCCGCGAAGGTAGTCGTAAATCTCTCTAGAATCTGAAGATGAAAAGCTGGCTGCAGAAACTTTCGATGAGTCCGCCATGTCACCACGTCTCTAGTAATCAAGCCTTTCCCGAGGAAATTGTCGAGTAGTTTGTAAAAAAATATCTTCTGCGTGTGCTTCATACTGCTGAGGACCGCTTGAATGTCCTCCGGCTCGAAAAGCATCACGTACGGCAGCCCTGTCAGCCATATCCTGATGATGCGACCATAAACTTGATTCTCGTGCGCCAGTCTATAAAGTACTGCAATCATATTTGAAACTTTCGAATTATTCGGAGCTCTTACAAGCTTCAAATTCCTGAATTCATTTCTCGCTCGAGAGAATTAAAAACGAAGGCTAAAGAAGTAAAAAGAATTTAGTTAACAGAACCCTTCTCAAGTTTCGATCTTTTGTTCGTTAAGCCTCGTGGGCGTGTATTTAAAGAATTTGTGATTTCTAATAGTAGAAAGCTAAAAATAAATGTTGTTCTCGAAGTAACTAGTTTCGTAGGAAATGCAAACTATTTATTGACTTCTCGTTTAAACGGATGCAAGCCATCGTAATTCGAAAACATCTTTTATGATTTGCGTTGACGTCGAGTTTATGCAAAACAGTCGATTTTTACCGTTTCCAAATTTACTTAAATTATTCCACTTCTAATATTTTTATTTCCGTAGTTGATCGCCGAACATTGCTACAAGTCACTGAAAAAGAAACATTTTCGTCGGAGATCGTGAAACCTGAATTATTTCAGGAATTCTTTTGTCGAAAAAGTGTAATGGACATTCGTTAAGAAAATATCTTTGGAATTCTCGATATGGGATTCTCGTCTTGTTTGACCGGAATATAGATATTGTTGACACTCGACCGTGACGCAAATGCAGTCAAATTGTTTTTATGGTTAAAAAACAATTTTTTATTTATCCTTGCCTACTGCAAGAGTTAAGAGCAAAAAAAAAATTGATATCTCAATGTTATTACTCTACTTACGGTTGTCTTTGAGAACGCATTTCGCGTTCCCGAGGATTGGCACTGTCTTTGGACCATTGAGTCTCGAAACGAATATGACGCTCCTGATGTAGCTTCTCAGAATGTACAGAATGTAAATGCTGGCCAAAATGACGAGGTATGCCCACACCCCACCTGGTGCTTGGTCCCACTAATGAAGCGAATATATACAGGTATAAATAAATAAGTCTAACTCTTCTAGATGATCAGTGTTTTCGATTTAAATATTTCTTTTATATATCGAGCATTAATTTTTGACGAGTTGATTCTTCCAAGCTCGCTGTTGAATTTAATTTATGATCAGAATTGATATGATTGATACAATATTTCTCAATTTCTATTAAAATATCTATATCAAATTTGATATCTTCATGCATCTATATATCTAAATTTCTGAAATATTTATATCTTTGCAAGCTTGAAATGGAGAAGGACGATAAGAGGGTACACGAAGATTTAGACATCGCTCGATGATTGATGTATTATTGGTAGACGAGCACTGATTGGAGAGGAGTAAATTAAGTAGGTAAATAGGGGACATCGAGGCAAGGACCTTGTATACAAGACGAACAGAAATGAAGAGTCCCATCCCCGCCGCATATTCAATCAGCCAGAACGTTGGAACAGAGGAGCGATGTGGGCGAATATTGCGCAATTATTTCGCAATCGTGAGGGACATTTTTAATCAAACACACCGTAGAAGCTAACGACGTGTTTAAGGAGCCAGTATAGAGAATTCATAAATTCCACCTGACGAAAGGTAAAATATTAGATGATATAATAGTTCCGACTTGACGCCATTGACCTAGAATGCCATGAAAACGTGATCTCTATTTATCTTTCGAGCCTCGCTTCGACTACTACGTTTCTCACTCTCGTCACGCTGGATTCCCCCTTCATTTACACACGTAAATAAATAATTATTTCCAAAGGGTTGATAGAAACAAATTATTATCAGTTATTAATCACGGCATCTCAGATGTGCTAACACTCAACCTTCGTAATTAGAATAGAAGAAGGAGATTAATGTATCGATAAAATTCACTCTCTATTACAGTCGATGTTCTAAAAAATGACAATAAAACTATGGCTAGTAATGGAACGATTTTAAGAAGAACTTTGAAGCACATGGAAACTGACATAATACGTCTATCCTAAATTTCAACATCTCAGTCTCAACCTAATTTGCCTCCGAGGTACAGATACATTTATCATGTATTACGCAAAAAGACTTTCTTTCATGCAGCCGTCTGATGAAATTGTGAGTAGGCGATTAGTAGCGATAGCGGTTTCTTTAAATCTGATTTCACCAATCTGCGATAGTGACCTTCTACACGCGACCATCGACAGAGCCTTTAATAGACTGCTTCATTTTTATTGCTGAATCTTTATCTTTTAAAGTGTGTTCTTTTTTTTATTGTCGTAGTTACACCAACTTTTAATTATACCCGGAGGTTTCGAACTCGTACCGACGAACAGTTTTATTACGATTTTGAACGAGCGAGAAAATAATGGCAATAAAAAAAAAAAAACTTCGGAGAGAAAGTATTTCTCGCATATAAAATCGCAACTTTTACATTAGGCGATCAAATTATTCCAGTATTTCCATAAGAATCCTCCAAATGTTACTTGTTAGAAAATATCAAACGTGAATTCATAGAAACTACGGTCAACAATTTCCAAATAAACATTCAACATAAACAATAATTATTGGTAGTTGAAATTACTTCGTAAACACTTCCAAGAAGCGCCGTCACATTTAGCTGTTCCCACGACGTTCTTGTTAACGGTGTCATTATCACGTTTCGGTTATTTACTGTTTGGTTCTATTTCGCATTGTGCTCCTTTTTTTTTCTCACAGAAGAAAACGGCGTCGTTAGCACATCCGGAGTCCTAGCGAGTGTATAGACGTCTGTCCTGTAATTATCGAGCCGTGCATTTCGCAAAATGATCTTTTCTTTACGATGATTAGTACGTCTGGTCATCGCGCGGTTGAAAATGTTCTTAAAATAGAAAGCTGCATAAGCGATGTCAATAAATGTCAAGGCGATGCCAATTTAATATTCGATCATTTCGACAGATTATCATCTAAATTACCGTATCATTTATTAAGAGACAATGATTCCAAGCATGTGCACATTTCGCCTAGGCGTGAAACGCGAGTATCTAGTGTTCGCGTGATTTAATCGGACCGCCTTGTTAAATCTATAAATCGAAACGGATACATTTGCCTAGCATAACTCCACGAGGGACGCCCATTTCGTCGAATTAATTATTCCAGGTGGATCTTTTATTAACTGGCTTATTGAAACGTGCTATCGGTACGCGTACATGCCGATCGAATAATAATGTATCACAACAGTGGGCAAGGTTCGTTGACCAAAAACGAATTTCAATGGTAATAATAAAGGAATGGAAATACTAGACCAGCCAAGAATAGCGCACGGTGCGTTGTAACAAAATTAAATTTTATCCAACCCATTGTTACAGAATAACAAAATCACAGCCGCCACCTGTATGCACCTTTTATGAAGAACCTCTCACAGTTAAACATTCGATTGAAGAATGTCAAGGAATGCAGCACGATTGAGTAGAGTTCAAACTTTCAAATAACATGCAGACGATCCTCAACAATGGAAACGAATTTCTCAAACTAGTAGATATATTAACGAAATATAAAATAATAAATAAGTTGTAATTAAATTGTAGATATTGACGTGGTCACTAATAACCCTTGTAGTTGATGTGACCTTACCCAAAGTAATTTAAAAAAAAAAGAAAAGAAAAAAAGAAAATTTAACCGTAAATAATCGCGATAAAGGAACTTTAATTTTGAAGCGATAAAAACTGTTTCACTGAAGAAAATAGGGTTCGTTGACCAAAAACAAATTTCAATGATAACAATATGGGAAGGAAAATACTAGACCAGCCAAAAATAGCGCCCGGTACAGCGTAACAAAATTAAATTTGAATCGTAAATAATCGCGATAAAGAAATCTGAATTTTATAGCATTAAAAACTGTTTTACAGAAGAAGACAAGGTTCGCTGACAGCCAGAAAGTAGCATTAATTTCTTTTACGACATAAAAAGTAAAAACTCGTAAAAAAAATTGTTGTTTCACGGTTACAAATAATTGTTGTCCGATAGGAATCCGATATCAGCACGGGTGCGATTAAAATGATTTCCAATCACTTACTATTTGCTGAGCCGTAAGAACCATATTCTCACAACCTCGTAAAACTTTTCTTAAGATTTCGTTACACTGGAACACATTAAACAAAATGTATTGAGCCGCGACATGGAACTTCGGATTACCCATAGAGATTCAGGCTATTTAAGCGTTTGCTCCCACCCGACACGCGTCTGGACCACTCAAGATTTGTTCGAAGTCCGTAAGTACTTAGAATACGTCACACCTCGACCATCGAGTGCCGCGAGAACTTTTTTAAAGTAACTGTAAACTTCATCACTTGCCGACCATGCGACGTCGGCTAATTACCAATACACCGAGGCTCCCTTATATTTTCGACCGTTCATAGAAATGAGTCAAAGAAATAAACATACTTTGCGAAAGCTGAATACGATTCTGTAACGTCGCACGAAAACACGCGAGATGTCTCGGGACGAATTCTTCTTTAAAAAGTCAAACACGCCGTTTGACATCATAGAGACTCTCTTGAGAAGTGTACGCTATTCAATCTCATTGAATCCATTTAAAATTCACATTCGGTTGATTATTGTCGAAGACGATTCAATAACTTTGAAAAGAATCGGTGAAACGTCGAACCACCGATACGTTAGTTCCACTTCGTTTACGTCGAAGAATCTCAATCGCGCCGATACTGTTTCTAACGTTATCGATGATTCGCAGGGGCCAGTTTGATTCTCACCTTGATGAACACCATAGGAATACCATAGCCCCTTGTGACACGATGCGTAAACGATCACCTCTGCACTCGCGATTAGAGTGATCGGTCAACTAAACCTTCACTGATCGCTAGTTGTAGTTTATATAGGTGTAATGGTGTATGAGGTGTCGTACGAAGCGTATTAACGAGCAGTTCTCAAGCGAATCACGTATCGTCGATATGTGCAGGCGTGCTTTATAAAAATCGTTCCCGTTCAGCTTCTGGGAGGCGATCACCAAAGATGATGCTTCGCGCGCATCCTTCCCGTCAGGGTCGACCCGGGAGAGAAAAGAGCCTCGAAAAACTCTGCCCAGAGAATAACTTATCGCGTTGTCTTTAATGGTAATTGATTGACTCCGGATACGGTTTGGGAACACTTTTTTATTCGAAAGAAAAAACGAACGGGACGGCGGGTTAATCTAAAATTGTGATTCGCTAAATAATCCAAAACTACGTAGCCGTTCGTCTTTCTCTTTTTCAGAATCGTATCCCAGTTCGCTGTGATTAATTCGGTTGATTTATTTCTTACGTTTCTCCATTTTATAATTCTTCTTCTGTCATATTTCATTCCTTATTTGTTAAATGTAATATATTAGGGAGACCGAAAGGTAGTCAAAATTTTTTGTTTGCTAGCGAGAAACGTTTGTTTATTAAAGAAACCTTAAATACCAATCAACAAAATAATTTCCATCATTTTCTAACACTTTCTACCTGTGTAAAGTTGTTCGATTCCATTTTTTGAAAAAGTCCTTCGATTTTTTCATTGAGAAACTTTTCCAAGTCGAAGACATTTTGATTACTTTTCAATCCCCATAATGTTACTCTTTGTTTTTGCTTCTTCCTCTCGTTACTTCCGTCAATTAAAAAATTCGTATGTTAATTATTACTAGACCATAGCTGACTTATTTAAATAAGACGTATAATTGCGTTCTGAGAAAATCTCGAAGACGTTCATTAACGAAGACTGAACAAACCTCAGTTGAGAGTCCTTCAGTAACCTAGTAGTAACTTTACTTACTGAATTGAAATTTACTTTGACGATGTGGACATTTCGAAAATACATTTTTTCCCTGCATCCCAATAACATATAGCTTAACTCAAAATTGCCATTAAACATTGTACCGTCAATTACACAATCTTTGCACTTATTAACACATTTATTACCGACAGGTTCTTGTTAATAACTCTTACAATGTGTAAGGTAATTCATGCGATGTCTTTTTTTTCTCACACAAAGTCGAAAACACGTACGCGACTTTCTTAATGCATCACGTTTAGCTGGCATCCGCTAGAAAAACTATGTTAAACGCATCTTGCATGTTTCTCTTGTATGAAAACGAAAATATCCTTTATCCAGATACAAATTTTCATCTGCTAGAGAATTGAATATTTATTCATGAACGTCACGAATAAATTCTTGTACGTTGATCTGATTCGTCATTTATAATTTTAATAAAATTTTCAGCACCTTTGATGAAAAAACTGAAGTACAAGTTTATGCAAAATAGGAAATCCTTGGGACGTAGAAAACAACTGTTCGACGATACTTTATCACATGCGAATCGATTGTCGAATACAATTAACTGCAGTAGGTATACAGAATACGCTGTTTCATTCCACAATCCGACTTGAAAACTTGCCAAGTACTTTATTATGCGATCGTTATCCTTGCAATTCACACTTATTGCGTGTATTTTACTCTCTGTTTTTCGTATCATTCCCTATATCGTTCCATTGTCTCGCGTATTTACAAATATCAAATATCTACTCTTCGCAACGTAGCGGAAACATTCTCATTTGAGAAAAACGTTGATAAATCAACCGCGAGTAATTAACCACGTACACGCGATGCCATTCTGGTAGTTGCAAAGCCGTGCGAACGTTTACAATTTTTTATTCAAATCACTCGAATTGGCCAAATATTTTGCAGCTACTTGGAGTATTTGGACAACCCAAATTTATTCAAATCTACCTTTACTTTCCTTGAGTACTTTATTTGCGTGTCTCTATTCGCGTACGAAAAATTCCAATTTAGCATGTTATCGATTCAGTACCGTGTCTGCGTGGAATATTCCGCGTCGATACTACCTGAGCTCTACCGACATCTGGTGATCCTAATAGGAAGCATATGATAAAACAACAGACAACAAGATAATTTCAATATCACATTCACCGTACGGCTTCGATATCAGTAGTAGGAAATAATTGTGAATTAATTTGAACGAATCATATCATTTCTACGTTACTATTGTGACATTCCGAAATTCAACATAATCGGTAAATAAGACGTACGTTCGATTTTCATTTCTTTATCCTGTACAACTTGCTCGATTTCGTGTCGGTACGTAACGACAATATCGCCAGTACTCGTCTAGTTATTTTCACGAATTTTGATTATTTTCGGAAAACGATGAGCCTCGGCGCACTCGCGACATCGCGCTCCAAGACCAACGGATGCGCGCGCACCTCGGCGCGACTCGCGGCTTTCAGGAAAAAATTGAACGTACCGCTCGCCAGTAAACTGTGAGACTACCAGCGATTCGTCGGGTGAAACTCCGTGTTAACGTTAAATTTTCATTTCTCGATCGCGCCAGGAAATATTTTCCCCCGAACGATTCGCGCGCCGTTCGTCGAAAGAGGTTGCCTTTTCCCGACGGTTTCACGACAACCCGACACATATTTCGCGTTCGTATCGGTTAGCTGTCAGATTATTAAAGATACAAGCAGTGCATGTCATCCAACTTCTCACGCGATCGTGTACCGTGGTAGTAGAAAAGCAATACCGCGGGACCAATGGATATCAGTCGGCTACGAGCCGTGAAGTAACACGGAGCTGTGCAAGTCCGATCGATTCCGAATAATCGTGCGTCGTCTCGCGTGGTGTTCATCCCTGTGCTCGACACACCGATCGTTATCCCGCTATCTGGATTCGTAGATTTCGTTCTGGAAAGTGGTGCGTACGGTATACTCGAGTGACAGCAAGGAACGAAAATAGATGTCATCGCGCGTAGCCACGTGACAGAACGAGAATTCATATGCGACAGCGAACGTGACAGACCGAGAACAATAAAATTGTTCAACGATTAGACGTACTCTCGCTGCGACGCGAACAGTTTCGGTGGGAAAACGGCGAACACGCCACAGTTCTCCCCGGAAAACGCACAGTGAAGTTGTCTCGGTGGGTGCCATTGACCGCCATATTCAGGACAGATACTCCGAGATTGAGTTTCGAAAAAACCTTGGAAGGTGATACGTCGGTGGCGTCGAAAAGGTTGAGGATCGGTTCGTCGAACGTATTACGCGTTAAATCAACGAAAACGACGCAGTGGGAAACACGACGTCGAGATGGAGTTCAAGTTCAACGTAAATAAACTCTTGCCCAGGCAGATCAACAAGGTCACGCACACTCTCATCCCGGAAGACTTCAAAGGCGATCGTCGTGAATTACAGTAAGTGCCACTGTCATTGTCACTTCGAGCTTTTACATTTCCTCTCTCGATTATCGTAGTTGAATTATTTTTTCTTGAATCCAAGGGAAGAATGGGTCAATATAGGAATCAAATTTATGCGCGACAATTCAGTCGTGGGGTTATTGTAATATACAAATTTTGCTCTTCTCTTATCTATCTAGTGCTTATAATTTCATCAGGGATTTCGATTAGATCTTCGATTTTACCCGAGAAAAATCGACGAAAGAATCAACGAATTTATTTCTAGGAATGCGAATGTAAATTTATAAATTGTTCCTGTTTTATTAGATGTTTGTTTTCTGTGCGACATAACCTGGTCCCGTGTTTATGGTGAATTTCGCGAGCAATTTCAGAGCATCGTGGCGAAGTGGTGTACACCGTGTGTTTTTCAAATAATAAAAATTGAAAGAATCGTTGACACTTTCCAATGTTATCTTTTATTCCAGCCTAGTTATTAATCGTGTCTAGGACACAGATATCGACCCCGATCGTTCGTGACATTTGGACGATTTAATAAATGCATATTTCGAAAAAAATAAAAAAAAAATGCCAACGTGTAAATGTTAATCCGGCAAAATTGAGAACAGCCACCTTGTTATTCCAATTGCGAAACGCGTAGTCTCGAGTATAAAATTTGCAAAGCAAGTTGCATACGTCGACTTGTTTGAATCGACTCTGTATCGAGACCTTGTAAATTAACGACAAAAAGAAACCAATACGAAATACTCCGATACAAAGGACCGAGACGCCGTGAGAGGTATTATTTATCGCGATCGTCATCGTCAAGGATATCTTGTAATATGGAACACGTACGAAACTTTCACTTCGTCCGTCGATGACACAAGCATAGTCATACGAAGTCATTCTTGCGTCTCGATGACTTCCCGGAACATAATCGGTTCTCCCTGCTGCGACGTAAATAAACTGCATCCGACACGTTCGAGCACGT